AAAAAAAAAAAAAAAAAAAAAAAAAAAAAAGGATTTGTGTTTTCGTGATAATTTTAAATGAAAATGCTACAGTCTGACACTGATTACAGAAATTGCCATTTTTATAACTATGATTGATTAAACACATACAGAAACTGGTATTTCCTACTGTCATATTTATCTAAACTTAATCTTTCACTTTAGGTTAGTCTTAAAAAGTTACCTGTCAAAATATTCTATAAAATAAATTTTTAAATGGAATTTTTAAAACAATTCTTATCAACCAAAACTTAGAAAATTTTACATACCCCTCCCAGAGATAAGAAAAACAATCCTTATGACATTTTATGTAGTACTAAGAGGACTAACAATGGTTGAGTCAAAGTTTAACCATCAGCATATTTATTTTGGAAACTGTTTTAAATCTAAGGCCAAACTTTTAACTACTTATTAAAATTGCATATAAAAATATCTGGAATATATTCAACATGCTAATTATTTTAGGGACTTGGCAAATATATTAAACTGAAAACTCAAAATCCAAATAGGTAAAAACTCAAAAGAACTAGACAAACAGAAGGGAATATGAAAAGATAGTATTTGAAATGTAATGATACTCTTGTCAAAGAAATTAACTTCCAAAATAATCAATTAATGTTAGGTAAAAGCTAGGTATATAAGGTATGCTCAAAATATATATGATGAATTCTTAAACAAATTGAAATTGTATTATGGTAAGACACATTGCCGTGAATCCCTCTAAAATACTTACCCCTTGGCTTCAAACACACTTGCCCCATTATTCTTGCCACTCTCTGAAATAGTTCTGGAAGTCCTCCTTTGTGAGTGTCTTTACAAGATATAATCAAAAATATAGTGAACGCTGCTCCCAAGTGTCATCCAATTAAAAGCAGGTCTGTAAAAACATTATGGTGTTTCTTCATCCATGTAATTCAGTGGATTTGGAGCTATTTGATGCTTGGGTCTTCCTCAAAGTCAAAATGACCATGACAGGCAAACATTCTGATTTGCACACTGAGGTAGCCATGACAGCATAACTAAAGACACTCGTGAAAGATGATTTCCACAACTGCTTCAGAAGGTGTCAAGAATGATTAAGTGTGCTTGAAGGGAGGGGAATTAATGGCAACATGTCTTTTACTGTAATCTATTCTTTACATTTACATAGTCACCATATTTTTCAATTGCACTACATAAATGAAGTATACTTTTATACACAAATAAAAATGCAATTAAAAAATATTTTTAATTGCATTAGAAAACATCAAGCACCTAGGAATAAATTTACCAAAGATATATAAGACCTCATATCACAAAGATAAATCAATATATGGAAAGACATACAATATTCATTGTTTGAAAGACTCAACATTGTAAGAATAAAAATTCTCCTAAATTGATTATAAATTTAATTTCAATAAAAATTCCAATAGGTTTATACCTATTGTGTAAGTGGAGCATGTGTGTAAGTGGAGAACAACATGCTGATCCTAATACTATTTTAAATAAATATGGATTAAAAGGATAATCATAAGAAAAATAAAATAACTAAATCTTCATCCCTAATTCACTTCAAAACCTGCTCCTATAAGTTTCTAAAGAGCTTCCTCTGAAGGAAAATGTTACTGCTGTTCTAGGTTGACATATACCAAAAAAAGATTTCAATCTCCAAGTGTTATAAATGAAGTTTAAATTATGAATTTAAAAGGTTTATTCCAGTACTATAACAGGTTAGAAATAACAGAAATGGAAGCAGTACATATTCTCGGCTTTTAAATTTTAACTTTTCCTTTCATACTTTTAACTGGATAGCTCACTTTTTGGCATTATTTATCAAGTAACTTCACTACACATACCTCTGCTTCTCATCTTAGATGCCATGATCTTTTGTATAAAACTTTGTAAATAATACCCTAAACACATTAATAGTAAGAGAAAAAGAGTAATACTATAGCCATTAAGCTGAGAAATGCACCTAACTCTGGTTCTTCCACAGAACTGTATCAGCACCTGAATGTGACTCGTCACAAGAATCATAAAAGTGTAAAGAAAAAAAATCACTAAGCAATCTAAAGAAATATCACAAAATTCATTCACTCTATTTCATACACTTTGTTCATGAGACTCTCAGAACAAAAACTCAGAGCCTGTTATAAAGAATACAGGCAGAGAGCCGGGATTTAGCTCAGCGGCACTGCACCTGCCTCGCAAGCACAAGGTCCAGTGTTCAATCCCTGGTAGTGGGGAAAAAAAAAAGAATACAGGCAGGAAGGAATCAGTGCTAGAGACAAAGCTGAGGGGGAGGAGGGAGAAAAAACTCCACAGATATAGCTAAAAACTCTACTTATCTGTGGATATTCAACACAAGCCACAATAGGTAGGGCAGTTTCCACCACACCTTTTGGAAATGTCTATACTATAGAAATGAACATTTAATAAACATGTCCCAGAATAATAAAGCATGTTATGCACAGAACACAGTGAGAACATATGATTTCTTGCCTGTGTCCTCCAGTCCTCCTGTTCTCCTCAAATACATTAAAGTCAGAGAAGACATATTATACTACTGAAAGACTTAATTTAAAAATCATTACAATTTAAGTATTTAAAAATAGGGCCGGGGATTTAGCTCAGCAGTTCGGTGACCTGCCTTGCAAGCGCAAGGACCTGAGTTCAATCCCCGGTAACAACAACAACAAAAAAAGGTATACATTAGGTAGGAAATTGATTTATATGAAATAATTCCTAAATAATACAGGATTAAGAAATACTATACACTAATGATCTTTGATGCAACAAAGTTGCTAAGAATTTCAACTAGACATTATTTTGAAAACTACAAGTAATACAAGTAGAAAACAAACTGAGGACTCATTTTAACACATGCAAGAATTCTAGGTTCTTTGTGTATCATTTATACTAAAGAACAAAGAAGAAAGAAACAATAATTCTGCAGGAAAAGAACTAAGGTATCAAAGAGATCAAATTAGGTCAATAGAAACTCTCATTACATTTATATACTTACATCCTGAAAAAATAACTGTTCCATATATGTAATCTTCTGTTGTGAAAATCACATTCGTTCCACTATTTTCAGAAACAGAAATATTATGGATCTTGATGGCAACATTTTCTCCATCAAGATGGATAAGGGGACAATTTTTACTGCCAATCTGTGCCAACAGCACTTTTTCTTGACTTATACAACAAAATGTTATGTCTGAGCCTACAAGAATTATGTTGTCTTGAGGGAAAACCTTGGTCTGAGAATCAGGAGTCCCTAGAAAGAACAACAACAAAATTATAAATATTTCAGAAGTGTTTTACATAAAATATTTTCCAAAATAAGCCTTATTTCCCAAAATAACTTATGCAATAGTCCAGTATATACAAAACATACTATTTGGTACTCTGAGACAATGGTGGCTCAAATATGAGGTGTATCCCTCAGGTCCCAAAGAAGCAAGGCACATTTAAGAAATAAAGTAAAACTGTGTATAATTTATTTACTGAAAAGGGTACTAGTGAGAGGATGAAAGGTCTAAGGTCACAGGGTAATGTTTAATAAATCTAAAGGTTCAAATTCAGTGGGTTTATACACACTTGAGAAAATATTCACCAAGAGAGGCCAAGGTGGGAGGATTCCAAGTTTGAGTTTGACCAGGGCAACTCAGTGAAACCCTGTTTCACAATAAAAACAAACAAACAACCCTCAACCCCACAGATGTGATCCATACCCCTCCTCCACTGCCACACACACTGCGCAGTATTTTTAATGACTTCTATCCTCCTTCTCACCCCTCTCCTCTTCATGGTAGTCCAGCTTCTACCTCCACCACTCTATTCCGCTCAATCCAGTGGTCCCTTCTCACTCACTAGTCTTTTTGCTTTCTACCATACCTAGGATGCTGTTTAAAGTCTTTCTCCTCAGAACTGCCTCCTTTCTTGGGTTCTATAATACTAGACTTTCCTGGGCTATTGTTAGAACTCTGAATACTGGCCTTCCCTCTATTCTACCCTTAGATATAAGCACTCCTGGGGAATGTGGACCAAGAACACACTCCCCTTCCAAAGTCATGTTTACCTTCAGAATTTAAAAACCTCATTATATATATATATATATAGGGAGGGACATACCTTCCTACGTCATCCCGAACACTGAAGGTCACATGCACAGGG